GTGCAGAGGAATAAGAAAAGAACATATTGATGATACGACGACTTAATTCCCCTGCGTACCTGGTTGGGCCTCCTCACCTGCGTCAGAGCCTCCATCCTCTGCTTTAATTGCTCTTCCATTTCTGGCAACTTAGCGTATTGGGCTAATTTCTGTTCTGCGAGCTCTAATTTCTCCTGTATCGCCGCTATTTTCTCTTCTTGGAGCTGTATCAGGATCAAGATATAAATTTCGCAACGGATATTAAATTTATACGAGGTATAGATTACCCATGGAAATACCAATTACCTTTAATTGAGCCTTCTTATGTTGCAGCTCCTGTTCCAGCTTTTCATTGAGATCATGTAAACTAGTGGACTCCCGTTGAGCATTGAGATATCGTTTCTCAAGAGTGGCTATCCTCTCTTCTTGGTCCTCTTTTTGGGCAACATTTTCGCGCAAATCTCTTTGCAGCTTGCAATTCGTTTCTTGCGTTTTCAACAGATCTTTCTGAGCCTTGGACAACGTTTCCTCCAGCTCTCCCACACGTCCGCTCATTTCAGCCACCCGCCGTTGCCATGTGCTCAATTCTGAGCTCTAGAAACGATCCATTACAACAGTTCGTTAGTAAAAGTTAACGTGTGCCTAATTTACTACTTGTATGTGTATCGAAAGAGTATAAAAAATTGTGTTCTCCATATTAAGGATAGATACAACTATGCAAGCTAAGTAACAAGACATAATCTCCTGTTCTGATCTTTACTCTAGGATACTAATATACTACCCGTCTAGTTTAAGTACACATTATATGGTTACAACTTGTAAATGTGTTTCTTTGTTTACATTGTATAGAACATGTTTCGTGTCGGTATATATATTATGTTACATTAGTAATCAAGCTGTTCGTAAAGTTTGCTCAGGAGGGAGGGGTAAGAACTCATTCTTGTTCACTAAAAAAATCATGCGAATACAGAACGTCGAACACACATCGTTGTTATACTCATTCCACAACATGCCATGGACGCCTTGCGACAGTGTGGCACAATTAACGTTATGGTAATTCACGTTTGTGCAACACGGTGTTACAAAAATCAACACATTTTCCCTTCGTATATATATATATATATAAAAACGAGACATTTTCACAACTCTCTATCGTATAACTCTGCAACATTTAATTAGCATAATCTGTGCTTCGTCTGGAGGATCTCGGTTTCATGTAAAAGCATTTAATAAAGGCATTGACAAAGGTAATCGATTATTTTGTTGGAACATTGTCATGCAGAATCGGTAGAAACGTTCCACGGTCTCTATCCTTTTAAACTCAAGACTGCTCTAAAATTGTCTGACGAACACGCGTGTAGATGAGTCTGCTCCAAGTGCATGCAGAAAAAACGGGGGAAACGAAGAAGAGTATGTTCGTTCTGCATCTGAATAAAACCAATGATCAGGGACACGTTTGGTGAAACGTCCCTGTACTGAGACACCATCTACCTGACATGTCTTTCTAAATCAATTGAGATGTCATACGTACTCTAAGTAGTTTTCGCCGTGATACGGTATTCATACCTGCTTGTCGAGAGTGGCTTGCAAATCTATTACTCGCGCCGCAGAATCCTGGTCCGCCGGATCAAGACTGCCATTGCTCAGTCTACTCCCAATCTCTGTCGACCTCTCCGTACCTAGCTTTTGTATCGACTGCTGTTGTTGTTGCTGCTGCTGCTGCAGTTGCTGTTGTTGTTGCTGCTGCTGCTGCTGCTGTAGCTGTTCCTGCTGGCCTGCCGCCTGCTCAGTCTCATTCTGCCCGATCACAACACTACATTCAGAATGCCTCGCTCGCATTGCCTGTCCTGCATCGCCGCGCAATTCCCAACAACTACTATATGTATATATATGTATATAGATATCTATATACATATGTATATGTGTATATATCT